TGTTATTTAAATTTTAATGTTTTTTAAATGGCATGAAAATGATATAATTACTACTCAATTATCCACTTTTAAGGCACATTCCAAGTAATTTCTCTTTTTTCTCTAAAATAAAATGAATACCTTTTGTTATGCCTATAAACCTAGCAACAACAAGGACAAACTCCTCTATTTCCCAGTTAGGCTGCCAAGGGAAAGAGAAAGAGATACAGAAGAGCTGGAGAGAGGTTCCTATTTAATGGTAGGAACTAGAGTCTCTTCTCCAAAAGCTGGTTGGTTCAAGGCAGGTCAGGAACAGAGGCAGCGGCTTCTAAAGGTCTGAGGGCCTCCCAGCCCTGCCCCTGCTCTCCTCTAATGCTGATGACACGCTGGGATCGGGTGCGGGAGTGGAATGGGTTTGGTAGTTGGTGTTGAGTAGAAAGGTGGTAACAAAGCATCTCAGGGCTGTTACCCTCTCAAAGTTCCCTCCTTCACCTTGCTTGTTGCTCTCCCCTGCCTCCTTTCTCCATCCGCACAGCCTCCTAGCTGCTCCTGCGGCCTGCCAGGTGTGCGCCCCCTGCAGGGCCTCGGCACCCTGCCGGTGATGCCCACCCTCAGGATCCCTAGAGGGCTTGCTCTTCCCATCCTTTAGGCTCTGCTCACACATCACCCTTCTTGGTGCAGCCTCCCCTGAGCACCCACTCTAAAACTGCACTGTGTCTCCACCCCTGGGTCTCCCTCCTGATTTTCCCATAACATGTCCAAATCTCTGCCATATCACCAGCAGTGTTTGTTTACTGTTTATCTCCCCCGTCCCCACCAGCATGCCAGCTCCACAAGAGCACCAATGTTTGTTTACTCAGTGCTGGGCCCTGGCGCCCACAGTAAGTAGTGCCTGGCACACGGTAAAAGGCTTAGTACATTTTGTTGACTGAATGAAATAGGGGGACACAGGGATGGTCAGAGATCATGTCTCAGTTCACCCTCTGCAGGATACCATGGGGTACTGGAACCCGACTCACTAGGAGGGTAAGGCTCCCACTGACTACTGTTAGGCCCATGCATTTTCTGTCTGTCAAGAAAGACGGCTCTGCTTGTCTGCGTAGCTACAGGGTGAACTCTCAGGAAAGGAAGAAATGGTTTCTCTCTATGAAAACAGGCAAACAAAAGAAACACTTATACCCAAAACAATTATGTCCTCCCTTAGGAATAAAGAATGCAATGATCAAGATATTCATCTTTGAGTCCTTTGCCAAGAGTGAAGACACAAGAATTGTTACAGCCGGTATACCACGAGACGAGGCCCCACTGCAGACAGAGGGAGAGACTCCAGGATTTCTAGCTCTCCTCTTGCCTAGATGGGGAAGTGTTAGTCACTCTGCTCTGTAATGCCCTCCCCCTAGGTGTTGATTCAGAATTGCTCAGCTTCTTCAGATACAGTGACTAGGAAAGCAACTCAGTCATCACAAGCAATAGAAGCTGTGGGTCAAATGTCACTGACTAATCAACCTGTCATTGGTCAATTACCTAGCCCCATGAAGAGGTGCCACTGATCTAGTTTCCCATCAATAAACGTCTATCTGGCCACATCAGCTACTGCTAACCACAGCCTGCCAAGATATCCAGCATCGTCCACAGGCATTGGTGGCTACGAAATCTCTCTCCCTTCCTCTTAATAATGTCACAGAAGAGGCAAATGCAGTTCCTGACAACATAATGTTGGTTTCACAGAGACGTGTCTCTTTGAACGCTCAGCCAGTTATATGGGGCTTCAATTGCATGGATTTTCTTACTGAAAAAACAATAGCTAGGCTTAAGGAAGTCGGAGGCTTCATACTGTGCTGAGATATATAATTCTGTCTTTAGTTGTATTCATGCTCTCATCCCCCTCTGAGTGAGGAAAAGAAAAATTGTTTGGAGGGACCATTTTCATTCCATATTTAAGAAAACCAAATAGACACTGTTCTCTCTTGCCTTAAGCCCTAATGACACTCTGTGCTGTGGTCAGATTCAACATCTCTGATTCTTTAGGTAGATCTACAGGCCACAGTGGCCTTGCCACAATGAAGAGCTGGTTTGTCTCTCTCTGAGTTGTCACCCTGGCACTGACCTAGTGAGGTCCCTGCTGGACCTAAAATTCTAGATTTCCTACTGTATCCCCTTTAATTTCCCCTCCTATCTTGACATTAAGGGGGCTGTATCACAAGGTAATGGAGAGGAAGGAATTCAGAAAGATTCCCATGTTTTTGGCTCAGACACACTGGATAGTTTTCGATTTAGGCATAAGAGAGCTGCAACTGAATGAGATGACTTGAGCAGGGAGGAGGAGGATAGTGGAATTCCATTTTAGATGTCTGGGTTTGAGGTCTTGGTTTGAGATGCACATGGAACGCTGTTAGATGGTGGCGGTGGTGGAGAGGGAGGCCCAGGGTACCAGGCAAGCAAATGGAATACAGAGAACATTAAAAGAAAATGGGCAGAGCTACTAAGCTGCCTGTTTGCTTCAATCTTCATTGACAAGAAGACTGGTCTTCAAATTAGAAATGGCAGAACAAACATAATAAAGAGAAAATTGAAGTCCCAAATAGGTGAAGAGAAAGAGAGTATCTAGTCAATTTAAATGATTTCAAGTCTCCTGACTCAGATGAGTTACACCCCAAGCCTGCTGGAAGAAATTGCAGATGTAATCTTAGAGACACGACTGGTAATCTTCAAGAAATTGTGAAGACTGTAAGGAGTGCCAGAAGACAAAAGAAGGACAATTGTTTTCTGGATTTTTAAAGTGAAGAGAGACAGATTGTAATAGGAAAATATACAGATAAGTTTCCAATCATCAATGGCAAAAATTCTAGAATAGCTTATTAAATAGGTGGTTTATGAGTTTTAGTTAGTGTAAACAGCTGAGAAAAGGAAGGGGCGTTGTTTGCTGTTTGATGGGAGTTTATTTGTACTAGTGGCTTGTCCAGACTGATGTGGCTTGTCTCTTCCCCTTTCCTAAGCACAAAGTGAGTTGTTTGGCCCCCACTATGAACTCAGGGCTTCTCTATCTGTGATTTGTTGCCTACGGTACTTAGCCTGTGATGTGGCCCTTTATAAAATGAGGTTGACAATTTAAATGAAGAAATCCACAGTCTGAATTTTCCTAGAAACCCAGCATCAACTCCTCAGGGTGTCCCAGGGACCTGGCAAGCAGCTTTAACCTCTGTGGTTATTAGCCTAAACACAGATAAACCTTTGCTCATTAGAATCCTACTACATTATTTTTTGTGCTATTTTTTTCTTTATACATGCTGACTTTAAAATGGGAATAGGAAACAACAAAGCAAACACGATGGAGCATGATGTGGGCAAGGGAGTCATGTCCTGCCAACACCTCTAGCCCTGGCAGGCTGAGACAGAAATATTTATATGTGTCTGTGTATATACATATCTTAATATTATATTTGCATTACATTTTTACATTAGCCTTTCAGATCCCTTCTTAGAATGTTGAAAAAAGAAGGGGGGGGGGAAAGCAGCCTACTCAAGACCCAGATAGCTTTCCTGAATTAAAAGTCCGATCATGTGCTGAATAACAGCGTTTCAGTTATGATGATGGTCCCCAGAGAGTATGATGGAGCTAAAAAATTCCTATTCCCTAGTGATGTCATCATGTCATAGAACAATTACTTTATTTAAAAAAATTATAGGGTAGCCTGAGTGAACAGTGTTTTTAAAGTCTACGGTAGGAGGCCGGGCGCGGTGGCTCACGCCTGTAATCCTAGCACTCTGGGAGGCCAAGGCAGGCGGATTGCTCAAGGTCAGTAGTTCAAAACCAGCCTGAACAAGAGCTAGACACCATCTCTACTATAAAAATAGAAAGAAATTAATTGGCCAACTAACATATATATATATATAGAGAGAGAGAGAAATTTAGCCGGGCATGGTGGCACATGCCTGTAGTCCCAGCTACTCGGGAGGCTGAGGCAGGAGGATCGCTTGAGCCCAGGAGTTTGAGGTTGCTGTGAGCTAGGCTGATGCCATGGCACTCACTCTAGCCTGGGCAACAAAGCGAGACGCTGTCTCAAAAAAAAAAAAAAAGATTAAAGTCTAGAGTAGGATATAGTAATGTCCCAGGCCTTCACATTCACTCACCACTCACTCACTGACCCACCCAGAACAACTTCCAGTCCTGCAAGCTCCATTTATGTAAAGTGCCTGACACAGGTGTACCATTTCTTTTTTTTAATATTTATTTTTCCTGGATCTTTTCTGTTTAGATACACAAACACTTACCATTGTGTCACACTATTTATAGTATTCAGTACAATCATATGCTGTACAGCTTTGTAGTCTAGAAGCAATCGCCTGTACCACATAGCCTCGGTGTGTAGAAGGCTGCATTGGCCAGGATTGGGTAAGGACACTCTATGATGTTCACACAACAATGGAATTGCCTAACTATGCATTTCTCAGAACACATCCCTCATTAGGCCATGCATGTGTACACACTCTGGGGGATGTCGCCAGTTTCATGTTTAAAAATGATATAATTCTATAAATCAAACAAAGTTAAAGTTCCCTTCTTAAAATAAAACAAAAAGGAACAACAAAAAACCCAGATACAAAGATCACTAAGATCTTTTAGAACCAGACCTCATATTCAGATGTTTGCTTCATTTATAGAGTCATTTATTAAAGTCAAAAATGATTTTTCATTCTATATAACGTCTCTTGGCATTACCCTGTAAGTCTCTAACCAAGACAAAATGAGACTTGAGAAGGAGGTTTGCCATACCCAGAGAGAGGCCTCTTATCCAGTTCCTCCATAAGTCTAATTTTGGTGTACCTTCCCACCAGAAAACCCAAACAAGCACCCTACATCTCACTGTCATCTCCTCTCTTTATACTCCCACTCCCTTTTCGCTATTTAGAGCAAAGAACAGTTTGCTCACTGGAGTTATTGGGATCATTTTACAAAAAAATAAGAACTTGTATGTGTACCTTCCATTTTAAAGCTAATGAATGAGAAAGAATATTCTTACCGTATTGACCCAATCATGTACGGCTGTGCCAGTTGAACCACAATTGCACCACTTCCTAGCTGGTGACATGTGTAGCCAGAATCCCAGTCATAATTCTTAGTGTCCCCGTTCAGCAAGGCATTTCGGCTCCGACTGACTCCTTCAATCACACTGGCACAATCAGAAATTGTTGCAACATTCTCCATAGGAACTGTGAATCCAAACACAAGATTTGGTATCAGGATAAGAGAAGCCAAATATACCTCAATAGTATACTCAGAATGAAATTAATTAATTGCTATCTCAAATCAATGATAAAACGGAAATTAGAGCCTCTTGATTATCTTAAGATATAAATATATTTTCCATGCTAAATAGCTTTAAAAATAAAGTTGAACCTAAGGTTGAAACAAACCAAACCACATGTAGCAATTAACCTGAATATAGTTTATAACAAAGAAACATGATAGCCCATAAAATATAGATTGGATAAATATATTGTAGAATATTTCTATAATGAGAAACTAAAATTGAGATTAATGAGTTATAGCTATATCTAAATGGGTGAATTTCAACAACATAATGTTGAGTAAAAAAAGTAAGGCATAGAAAAACAAGAGTATGAGTTCATTTATACGAAGTCTTTAAAAAGTCTAAACTAAAAAATACTTTGTTTAGGGCTATCTACATAAATGTAAAACTAAAAAAGAAATCCAGGGAATTATTACATAAAATTGAAGATAGTTTGGGAAGAGGGGAGATAAAATCTTAGGAGGACCCCCTCCCACCACCAAAAGGTCTAAACATTAACTGATTTCATTTCCAAGAAATATTGGTCTTATTCTGTTTCTGAAGCTAGGTGATGGGTACATAGGCATTTGTTTTATTAGTCTCTAAGCTGCAGATATTTATTACATCTATTCTTCTGAGGATTTGTTTAAATAAATATGATAAATTCAGAATTTTAGAATTCATAAAATAGGAAAGTGATTCAGAACATAGTAACAATCCCTTTTCAGAATATACAGTTGTCCTCAGCTGTGATTCTTTTATTATTCTGTACATTGCAACACAGATGTTCTTTCCTTCATTCATGAACTGTTTTATCTTGAAACACTAGCTCTGTTTTTATTATGAGTCTCTATACTTTGAGTCCACACCAACCTGCTCACTTACAAAAGTCAAGAGCTTCCACAAAATGATGTCTGTCAACTATGACACAGATTATCTAAACACCGAGAAGAAAATGATAAGAAGTAAGGGCCTTTTAGGGCCCCTAGGACCTTTTCTGTGCATTTAAAGCCCAAAATCTACAATTTTCTTCAGACATTTAAGTTATTTAACTCAAATCTACAATTAACCCTAGCTACTTACATTCAAGATTTGTAGTTTACTTAGGATAATTGAAAAGTGAATTGCAAAAGAAAACAATTTCTCATTAGATATGTAAACTTGTACTTTTCAGTATAATAATATACTCTTATCAAAAGAAAAAGGGTGAGATATACTACCACCATGCCAAAACAATTTTAAATTTATAATGATGTAGAGTAAAAAATTCTGTATATATCTTCTAAGCAACGCATTAATTTTCCAAAGTTGGGCATGCCTGTACTTAAGCCCTCCACATATGCCTTCACCAATTGCTTTGCTCTCTGTAGATGAGGAAAGCCACCCAAGATAAGGAAAGAAAGGGAGGAAGCAGGGAGAGAGAGAGGGGATGGATTTTCTGGTGGTGAATCCCTTGATTATGAAGCTTAACTTCAAAGCAACAAGAAAAAATCACAGGTGAAACTGCCTGTAAGGACAGTTTACTGGCACAGAAGGGGCTCAGAGAAGCTCACCATGACTTTAGAAAGAAACAGAGGTGAAAAGGGTAAGTAAGACATGGTACCTCCATCTCATGGAAAAGGGGCTGTCTGTATTCTTTGATTTGGAAGACAGAACTTAAGGAAGTAGCAGAAGATGTACAATGCACTGAGCTAATACGAGTCTGGTGGCTTGTACCTGTAATCCCAGCTTCTCAGGATGCTGAAGTGGGATGTTTGCTTGAACCCAGGAGTTTGGTATTAGCCTGGACAACATAGCGGGACTCCACCTCTAAAAATTTTTTTAAAAAAATTAGCTGGGTATGATGGCATGTGCCTGAAGTCCCAGCTACTCCGGAGGCTGAAGTGAGAAGATTGCTTGAGCCCAGGAGTTTGGGGCTGCAGTGAGCTATGATCATGCCACTGCAATCCAGCTTGGGCAACAGAGAGACTCCATCTCTTAAAGAAAAAAAAAATTGAGCTGAGATGTACAATAATACTGTAGGTAGGTTATGCTGCAGTAACAGACAGGCCCCTATTCTCTCAGTGGCTTAACATAGCACACATTTGTCTTTCCCTCACCCCATGTATTCAATGATGATCAGCCAGAGCCAGGTGGCTCTGCTCATTATATCACTTAGGGATCCCAGTGACAGAGGCTTCATACTGACATGTGCTTCCTCAATCACAGCAACAGTGGGAAGAGAGTAAGCTGGGCACTGGTTCTTAAAACCCTTTCCCCAAAGTAACACACAGATCCCTCTGCTCACATTTCATAGACCAACGCAAGTCACATGGCCTTACCTAACTTCAAAGGGGATGAGAAAGCACAACTCTGCTGTGCACCCCGGAGAGGTGCCCAGGAGAAGAAACGGGGTATTTGGTGAGCAATATTAACATGGACTCCAAATATGAAACCAGGATGAAGGAAGATTCACCAGACAGATAAATCTGGTAATTTGTTTAAAGTATATAAAGTATTTCAATGAGTGAATATCCCAAAATTTATATATCTAGTCTCTTGCAGAGGGGCATTTAGATTGTTACCATTGATTTCTTTGCCATTACAAACCAAGGTATCTGCTTGTGTTCCTGAGTAAGTTTCTTAAAGGAATATCCACGATTGAGATATCTATAGATCTACATATAAATATATGTTATTTTAAATTGTAGCATATTATGGGGGTACAAATTTTAAGGTTTCAAATAATGCCCTTGCCCCCCTGCTCCCACAAGTTTGAGCTTCCAGCATGACCATCCCCCAGACAGTGGACATCTCACTCATTATGTATGTATATACCTGCCCCCCTCTCCCCTCCCACCTGCCCAATACCCAATTACTGTAGTTCCTATGTGTCCACTTAGGTGCTGCTCAGTTAATACCAGTTTGCTGGTAAGTATATGTGGTGCTTGTTTTTCCATTCTTGGTATACTTCATGAGTGGATTAATAAAATGTGGTATATGTATACTGTAGAGTACTATTCAGCTCTAAGAAACAACGGCGATATAGCACATCATGTGTTTTACTGGTTAGAGCTGGAACCCATGCTACTAAGTGAAGTATCCCAAGAATATATGTGTTTTTAGCACTCATTGCTATGAGTTCCTGTCCAGTTCCCTAGATATTGCCAAATTATTCACTAAAGTGGCTGTAAAACTTCATACTCCCAACTCATTGCTTCACATCCTCACCAACTCTTGGTGGTGACGTCAGACAGATGCGTGTGAAGTGAGATCTCAATGTGGCTCTAGTTTCTCATTTCTTTGTTAAATGAAGTTGAACATTTTTCCCTTTTTTCCCTCTGAAATCGTTCTCAATTTCTCTTCTGTCAACTGCATGTTTTTATCTTTTGCCTATTTTTCTATTTTCTAATTGATTTGAAGGATGCCAAAGCTTTGTAGGTCAATATATTGAGTTAAATATTTAATCTTTTCCTTTATGATTTGTGTTTTTCCTTTCTTGTTTATAAATTCTTTCCTATACCAAACCCATTAAAATACTTTCCTCTATTTTCTCTTAAAAGTTCTCATATTTTTCTTTTCATGTTTGGTTCTTTAATCTATTCAGAATTTATTTTTGGTATGCTGTGAGATAGGATTATTTTCATCTTTATAGGAATGACCAACTTTCCCATTATCATTTAATGAACAGTCCATCCTTTTCCCCACTAATTGTTACATATAAAGTTTTCATATATATTTGCATTTCCTTTTAAAATCTGTATTCTGTTTCACTGACAGATTTGCCCAACATGTGCCTTTACCAGGCTGTCTTACTTACTATTTAAGATAATTTTATAGTAATTTCTTAGTGCCTCTCCTCCCCCTCCTTTTCCTTATTCTTTTTCTTCAAAATTATCTTATACATTCTTGGCTCTTTCAGGAAAATTTTCCATTTTGTTCACATTTTCATATATACCGGCATAAAAATTTTCATAGTATATCCTCTTTCTCATTCCAAATATTGTTCATTTGTACCTTTTCTTTCTTTTTTGATCTGTTCTACACAGGTTTATTTATATTACTAGCACTTTCAAAGAACCAATGTTTGGTTTTGTCGATTGTTTATTTCCTATTTTACTAAATTCTTCTCTTATTATTTTCTTCTTTCTGCTCCTTTGAATTTACTCTATTTTTTCCCTACTTGAAGCAAATGCTTAATTCATGAATCTCTTTTCTTACAAATGTATTTAAAGCTAATGCTGTATTTTACTTCTAACTCCTGTTTTGCCTTTAAAATCAAGGTTTGATATTTAGTGTTTTGAAAAGTGCTGGTCAGGTATTGTGTAGAATGTTCTGCAATTTAGGTTTGTAGGATATATGCTATTTTAAAAGTTGATATATATATGTATGTATGTATGTATGTATGTGTGTGTGTGTGTGTGTGTGTGTGTGTGTGTGTGTGTATATATTTTTTTTTTAGAGACAGGGTCTCACTCTGTCACCCAGACTAAAGTACAGTGGCACCAATATAGTTCATTGTAGCCTCAAACTCCTGGGCTCAAGCAATTCTCCTGCCCCAACCTCCTGAGTAGCTGGGACTACAGGCGTGCACCACCAGACCTGGCTAGTTTTTCTTGTTTTTTTGTAGAGATGGGGAGGGGGTGTCTCGGTATGTTGCCTAGGCTGGTCTTGAACTCCTGGCCTCACACAATCCTCCCACCTCAGCTTCTCAAAGTGCTGAGATTATAGGTATGAGCTATGTGTTACTGATTTTTAATTACATTCAGCCCTGTTACTGATTTTTTAATTACACTGTAATGTGAACAAAAAAGTGTGGTCTGTCTGATATGACTAGAATTTGAGATTTGTTTTGTGGTCTAGTACATGGTTAATTCTTATTAACTTTTGATAAATGCCTCAAAAGAATGTGTATTATCTAATTTGGGGGACATATGATTC